AAAAGGGTGGCCAGGGGTCTTTCAGGACGGCAGTGCTTTACGCCATCGCCGAAGTGATCTTATGTGAGCTTTTCGGTTCTGCTTTTCACTTGTTCTTCGTAAGTAGTGACTTCTAACTTGGTTTTGGTACTTGCGTTATTAATGTAGGTGTTCGGAGTTGCTATGATGAAGGCAAGCGTGTTGCTGAGACGCTGACCATGGATTATCACAGGGATGATAGTGTCCATGTAAGATATAACTAAGCATGATCTTTTTTTTTTTTGTGGTGAGATTACAACTTGCGCAATCACTGATGATCAGGTGAGGATTGCCCGAATTTTGGTCCACGAATGTGCATCGATGATGGCCGCGTAGTGAGCAATTTCGTTGCACAGGTAAGAAGGCTCTTTCTGCTCATACCTTGTAATTCACAACAGCTTTGAACTTAGGCTCTACGTAAGGAGGCCATGACTGTTTACATGGAAAGCAAACTTGGAGCTTTCAATGTGTCAGATCTGGTACCTTGCGTTTTTTTCTTCGACCGAAGCTTACACGTTTAGCATGCAGCTTATCAGCTTAATGGAAGGTGAGCACATCGGACAATCCCGGAGAGTTCACCATGTTGGAACTTGCACAGGTACGTCCAAATTTCCACGCCATCGTTTGCAATCGAAAACCATGCCACAGGTGATACGAGAGACGATTGATCCAGAGGCAAAGATATAGAGTTCCGGAACAACACGGAGGACGATCCACACAAGAGGAAGCCAGACATCACCAAAGCCAAGAAACTCCTTGGCTGAAAGCCCAAAATCTCCCTGGGGGAAGGGCTGCCTCTCATGGTGGAGAACTTAGGCGGCGAGTGTTTAATGGTGAGAACTCGAGGTAAAAGAGGCCACGGTTTTTGGAACAGGAGAGTTACAACAAGGCAGGCTTGCAGGCTGTCCTGTACACCTATCGAGCCACAGGAGAGAAAAAACTACAAAAGAAAGAGGCAACGCGGAATGGCGGTGAAAAGTTTCCAGCTTCTCAGCAGCTTGTTTCCATGGTGATATTTTCAATCTAGGAATAAAGTTTGTTGTTATGATTCTTAGCCAGTAACAGCGATGCTGGTGGTGTATGTTTCACTAGGAATTTGCCGGAAGAACAGCGAGCTTCCTGTGGTTTTGGAGGATTTTGTCCATGATGTTTGAATTAACAGCCATGAACTACAATGGAAGTTTAACGCTCTCTTTTCGTACTGTCGGTCCGATGACTAGAGACAAGGTAGTGTCTGCATTGTTTTGTAATTTTTTACTTTGGATCTAGCATCAGCATCGTATGTGCAAGATTTTGACACCCCAGTGACGAGACGAGCGACTCATTCATAAATTCTAGATTGTGATGTAAAAAGTCGAGAAGATATTATAAATATATATCGTAAAGGAAATTTTTCAGATGTGAAATCGAGTGGAATTTTTTCAGCTGTGACACCCTTCTACTCGGACACGATTGGCCCAGGAGCGATCAATTAAAATCGTTGTTCCTTCAGAATTTCAAAGCCGACTCCAATCGTTAAATTCTTTGCATTGAGCTTTGTTGGTGCTCGTCGTAAAGCTCCAAAGCTCGCTGGTTATCATACCTATATAGGTATGGTTATCATACCATAGCAATCAAGTGAAAGCGGGTGAGCGAGCATAGGCAGATTGTTCATTGCAAGAAGCCTGCAACGTTCTCTAAAGAAACCGGTGCTCGACAACAGAGCAAGGTGCTTGTCAACAACGCTTGAAGAGGTTGAAGACACTTTCCTCGGCTGTAGAGATTGTGATCAAGCTTTTGCTAGGGGCTTCTTCACCTTGAATTTTCTCCTAAAATCTTGTAAACAGCCGATGTATTTCTGCTGAGATGCTTTGAGGTACCTGAATGTTAAGCTATCAAGAACAGCACTCACAGCTGGAAATAGTTTAGCACTAAGTATTTACTTTATGTTTTCTTCTCTAGATTTTCATGTTCGAAACAAGTTTTCTTGTCAAAATTTTGATGTTCGGAACCAATTATTTTTCTCCAATAAAAAGTTCTGCTACTAGAATAATACTATCAAGATGCTTTATTTCGTTAAAGTGGGACTTTTCATTATCCCACTTATGGTGTGTGGCCACATGCCATTTTTATAACAACAATAAAAAATTGAAGTTTTAACTTTATAATTTATAAATTAAAAACTTTTCATATGATTTTGTGTTATAATATTGTGAAATATAAAAAAATAAATTAAAAAACTGATAGAAATATTAATAAATATTAATTAAGTACTAGGAAATGGCATGTGGACACATGCTAATTAATGTCCCACTTTACTGAATAAGTCCCACTTTAACGAAATAAAGCATCAAGGCTCAAAACTAGACTTGTGATGGCATCAAGCTGTGTCATTTAAAAAACGGGAAAAAATCATTCTCATCCTCAAACTCATGCTTGAGATCTTGAATCTCCCAGCGGCCTTCTCACTGCCTAGACGAAGTAATACAACAGAAACTCTTTTCTGCATTATAATGATTCTATAGAATATGCCTGGTTTAACATAAATAGGTTTTGGTACAGCACGGATTTTTGTGAAAGCATCTGTGTGCCACAGGTGGAGAGCAGTGATTGACAGTCATGCTGGAGATTTCCTCCTCTGGTCCTTGAATACACAAAAGATCAGTTACAGCACCACTACCTTTCAGTAACGACGATGCAACTGTTTTGCCACTGCCAGATCCGGATTCGGTCCGCTACTGGGAGCCCGTTGCCTCTGCCGGGGGCCTGCTTTGTTTCTCCCACCACTTCTTGCTGGTGCAAAGTTTGCGGTGTGGAATCCGGCTCATTTGTGGTGCTGCCAGGTAAAACACTCATTCGATTCAAAGGGCGCCTATGGTGGTGGAGGCTTTGCGACTGGCGGTGGTGCTTACGGCGGTGGAGGAGGCGCTTACGGAGGTTGGTTACAGTGGTGGCTACAGTGGTGGCGGTCAAAGATGGAAGTCTAAAGAAGGGCATTGACGTGTTTGACTCGTTGACCTAGTCGTGGCGGCGTCACCAGGGTTGGGTGGAGGGCGGTCAACAGATAGGCTATGACTTGGGATCAAACCGGTGTTGGATCGAGCATGAGAGGAATGTTGCTCCAGGCTGATAGAATGGAGTTAATCTAGGCTATTGTACAGCATGACAATGGTGATATGATTGTTTTTCTTTGGAACACAGGGTTTGTTTCCAAGGCGTGGTAGTTTGGAGAGGGTGCACAATTTCAATTATCCTAAAGACTTCTTGTATAGATAACAGTTTTTACTGGGATACAACACAAGTTCCTCTACTTGTGTGCAACTCATTTCAGCTTTAGGAGCGTAATATCTGATTATAGAAACAAAGTCAGAGAATTAGAATCACCCAAGGAGCCTTTTGTTTTACTTTACTTTGATCTTGAAGTCCATCTCTTTTTATTTTAAGAAAATTTGTAGAATTTTCTGGCTTAATCAAGTGGTGTTGGTTTGAAAACCTGACGAAAAACTAGCTCTCCCTACTGGGAACTAAATCAGCTCTGTGGATCCATAGTGTTGTGTATTATGCTCATGGCTTATCCAAGCTAGGTATAAAAGGTTCATAATACTGAGCAGATTTTAGTTCTACTGTTTGGAAAGTGTCCCAAGTGTCATGAACCAAGTCATATGCCATGTAAACTCCGTGGAACATGAAGCTGCAAATCACCATATTCCCAACTAAATCGCTAAAATGCAAGGGAGGCCTCCGATTGAAACGTCTCACCCATTCATCGCGGAAAGGGAATTTTGCCACCAGTCTCCGAGGTTCGCACTTCCATATATACAGGGTACGTATATCACCAGGTCCAGAGACGGTAGTTGCATAGTCAACTTTGCCCAGATATCTTTTCTTCATCTCTGACCACTCCCCTGTCTCAGATTTGTAAACCATCACATTGTCACTCTCGTGCCCATAAATCCACAGCGTGTAATTCCGTGTCACTGGATCCACTATAAACTCTTCTTTAGTAGTTTCTTTGTTTGGAAAAACCTTGCGATGGTTGGTCAAAGGGTTCCATACAAAGAGATCAGAAGGGCTTTCTGACAACCATCCGGCAATCAATCCATTTGATGCTATAGCAGGCAATGAGCGACATATTTGATCGTACCCAATGTTTAATTTGAAGCTAGGCTGTGATCTGGAGAATGGGAACCATACCTCCGTACTGCTTGTAAAGAACACCATGACCGCCGGCTGATCGCCATAAAACCGGGAGAAGTTGTGGGAGATGAGAGAATCCCATGCTTTGCACACAAGCCTGCAACGAAGAAGACTTCGGAGATCAAGATGGCAGAATATTTCCCACAGCATCCATCCAGAAAGCTCCATTGGATTGGAGTACCCTAGAGCAAATGTTGTATATAGACAGACGTGTCGAGATGTCAGTCTCGATCAGCTGACGTGGCATGTCCACGTGGTCATGAGCTGAGTCAAAAAGAGTCGGAACGAGCTCATGAGTGTTATGTCCATCCCTTTTCACATCACAACAAGACGTTGAAAGATGAAAAGCAGCAATCCTTAAGCGATTTGCACACACTTCTCGAGCTGTCTGTCTGGTTAGAGCACGGATGAGCGTGACTGAGCCAACGAGATCGTTTTGGAGGCTCGCCCAGCCAAAGTGGGACGAGTTGCCATGAGCTCACGTGGACTTAAGAACACACACTGCTGCGAGAAAGAAATTCCATCCTCACAGTAACAATCAAGTCAGATAAGTATCTTGAATTATAGGTTACTTTGTTCTTTGCAGCCAGACTGTGATTTATACAGGAAGAGAAGCACACTTCGATCTGCCGCGAGTGGACGAGAGTCTGGTCGCGCAAAACCAGTTAGAAAAACCC